AATTAATACGTTGTGTTTGTAAAAATCGCAAGCATAATGCAAAAATATCTAAATTTCAACATCACCATATATGTTTTGAGTATGCTGATATGCTCATATAATCTTAAGGTTTCATTAAATAAAATTAGCAGCTGAAATTTTGACATTTACATCTATTTTTATACATTATTTTACGAGAAACTATATATATGGATTTAATATTTTAAGTAATATTATAAGTAAAAGAAGTAATTACAATCATAGTATCAAATAAATGAATTATATATTTAGATTCTTCACTGTGTCCATGACACGTAAGGGAATCAAACTCGTCACTTGCAACTTTTCATGTTTTACGTGTGAAAGTGATTCGCCTGAAGAACCAAGAAAGTCATTCCACAAAGTGACTACACTTTTAATTAGAACTAAATTCATTAAAATAACCCGTATTATAATATTTTATTTATTTATCTATTTCTTAGATGCAAATTTGGTAGTGGATATTTCATATTATTTACCTACAATAAGGAGAAATATTAACAAAAAAATATATTGTAATTGTAATGAAATATTCTCAAGAAATAGTAACCTTAAACAATGAGTACCCAATATTAAACATCTATAACGTATAGAACGTGTTGCATACACTTCAAATCCAAACTTTTGATAATATATATAACTAACTATACAAGCTAGTATCATCCTAAGTCCAAAAAAAAAAAAAAATTGGGGATAGAAAACTCAATCAAATAAAAATTTAACAACGTAAAAATCTAAAAATCTAGTACTTGGGATGTGAGAAAATACCTTTTTAGAAATTTCAAAAAATGCTTTAAATTTTATTATATAATGTTTGTGTGATGAAATTAACATGTGGTTTAGAAATAAAAATCCCTAGAAAAGGTTGAGAGAGAGAGAGATTAGAGAGGAACCAAAATGAATGTCGGAAGGAAGATAGAGGAAGTTGGTCTGTTGGTGTCGGCTACTAACGGTTGGGCCACGTCATCTCCTTTTTGTTGACCAACTGACAAAGTGACAGTTGACCGTTCTTATTTTTACAGGTTTGTCCCCATTTTTTCTGTTTCTTTGCCGACAACTACCCTTTCTTTTCCTTTTTGTATCTTTTTTTTTTTCTCTTAACTTCTCCAAAATATTTAGAATGCCTTTAGACTCACACAATATATAAATAAATAAATAACTCTAATACAATCTCTATACCAAGATTAGAATCATAACACGAGTTATCAGAGTAAAAATATAATAAATATTATAATTTCATATAATTTTATAGTAGAGGAAATTTCTGTTATAAGCTGAATTTGCTATAAAAATATGTAAATAGCAAATTCAAATTCGAACACTATTGATTAGAAAATAAAGTTATAAGATGGTTACGGTTTATTTAAAATAAGTTATACTCATATAACTAACCCATATCGTTGTTATGGTGGTTGAGTGTTTATTTTTTTTCTTCAGTTTCTATATTTTTTTTATATGTATTACTTTCTAGGATATTTAATTTATTTTGTTGAATGATATAATATATATATATATATATATATATATATATATATATTATTTTTTATTTTTTGAAGATTTAAACTGCCGCTTATACCAATCATAACTATAATTTTTATACAACTTTTTCAAATTACTCTTTCTTATTGCTTTTAGTTGTTTTTTGTGTGTTTTTCTAACATTACTAATTATCATTTATTTGATTAAATGGGGGCATCAATTATAATTTACACCCATATTGGTTTTAAAATATAGTTTATATACTAATTATTGGGGTATTGCTTGAAAACGGTTTTTATATTTATAAAACGTATGTGGTCGCTGTTGTTAAATTAATTAGACTTGAAGTAATGGTTTTGTAATTATATCAAATCGAGCCGTGTAAAATTCGCGTTGATGAGTCAATGCACCGTCACGTGAGATCTTTAAGTCTTAACCACTCACTGCGTTTTACAAGACGATCACCAAATCAAACAAAATCTAAAGTTTTTAGTTTGCGGTGAAAGTGAGATCACAATTACAAAAAGGGACCACAACAAACCAAGTCTTCTTTATTTTTCACTGTTTAGCAAAACAAATTCCAAATAATTGTTGCGATTAGTGCATAATAACTAGTGATTGATATGATTAGTGCTGAACAAAATGGTATTTGTCAGACAAGATGAAAATGATAAATCATAGTATCTTCGATGAAATCTTTCTTCTTTTTCTAAGCAGTTAATTAAAGGAGTATGATTATTTCAACTCTGGTTGATTATAAATTTATAATATGTGAAGGTTTTATTCGATAATGAGACAAAATATTGCCACACATACACAACATAATATACACTCTCAATACTATTTTCACCAATATATATATATATATATATATATATATATATATTATATATCATATTATATACATAGAATGTCACTTTTAGTTCGTAGAATTATTTTCATTAAGATAAATTGTCTAAGGACATCACGCATGAGTCATGATTGCTACGTACATGAGAGAAACTGAAATATATATATTGTTTTGGTTCGACACGACTAATTTATCTTGGCGAACATGGATGTAAATAGAGTATCTACGTAATGTAGTTCGAACCTGGATTAATAATAGAATCAGTTTCAGTTGAGATACAGATAAAGGGGATAAAATAATGTAATACATCGAAGTATTAATGTTGGCCTATTTGTATATATGTGAGCCATACAAATTAAGTTATGTTTAATTATCATATATAGTTTTTTTTTTTTAACTTGGGAATATAATATATGAAGAAAAAGAGAGTTGGTGTGAGTTTAGAAGATGGAGTAGCTATAGAGCATCCCGTGATGGGCAAACTAAAAATTCGGTGGTTTCTCCGACATGTAATGAGACAAAACAAGGTTTGAAATTAAAGGCAGTCCATGTGATCAACCCGGATTCACGTTCATTATATACGAATACGAATCTATCTCTTTCACACATTTAGCACATGCATGTGATGATTATATGGTTTTACTTGGTTTTTTATTTACGTGTTACATTTTGTAACACAATTCTTAAAACAACTTAATCAACATATGTATATACAGTTGTGATTATGGTTTATAAGTGCGTGAAGTCAATTGAATTGAACTCATAAAGTGTAGATTTTATCCAATGGCTTTATGCGTATGTCCTACAAGATTCTTTCCATTAATATACACATACAACTGTACAAGTAACTTATAATATTAAATATACACGTAATTAAATATATAGTGTTCGTTCGATTCAGTGACGTAGAAAGAAAATATATAAAAAATGATGGGCCTTCGTAATTGTACGTACTCGACAACATGCGTGGCAATGACTCACCTTATCCATATTCGATAAATTACTTTCTTGTACTCTCCTTGTTTTAAACAACACTTTCTGGTACTATTTAACTAGAACCCTAGACTCGAGAGATGGTAATATTTGTAAACGACATTAATATGCATATTATAAATTTCGAACCGTTTATAGTCTCACAACTTCGTAAGTGACAAGTTTTGCTTACTAAAACTGTATTAAAACAGTTATGCTGGAATCTAACAAATTAATATCAATTTTGCATGAATGTTTCATACCAAACACAAAAACAAATACAACTTACTCTAGTTTAATTAGTTGAATTTTGCCAGTGTCTCGTATCATAAAAGACTTCATGAAAATCTTATTACTACTATACATAAGTAGTCTTACCTATCAATATAATGGAAACAAACAAAAAAATACTGCAATATGGAAGTTTTGGTCTAGTGGTACTATGGACTAGGGAGTGGATTCTCTTAGGGTTCCCCTTTTGCCAAGACAAGTGCATGACCTATCTTGCTAACGTTACTCATTTTACTATGTATATGTATTTGTATGTTTATGCACATGCATATATCTTATGTAAACTTATGTCAATGCAGTAGGACCGTATGTGGTATGTATATGTGTGCGTATAGATACGTGAGCTAGTTTTGGTGTTTTAGGCTCCTTCATCTCTCACATCCGTCGGGCCACGATCAAGCTCATTTCAAAGCTAGAAAAAACGATCTTCTTTTTATATATAGATATGTAGCTTTCATATCTAACCTAAAATATACATATTTTTGTCGTCAAAAGAAAAATAATAGCTTCAAAGGAATATTTTCAAAACTCATGAGTTAATAACAACTAAAAATAACTTCGTATCAAACATTTAGTTTCCGTTACGTTAACTTACATGCATTTACAAACTATACTAGTCTATTTTGATATTTATCAAAAATAAACACTCCACATGCATATTTTATTTGTCTTTATCTCACTCTGGTCAATTTAAAATTTGAATGTATATATATATATATATATATATATATATATATATATATATACATATAGCTCAAATATCTTGTCTTTTCATCGATGAAAAAGCTAATGTATATGGTCTAATTAAAATCTTCGACAAAAAATCTCTATAGGGCATTTTTTATTTGAAATCTTAAACAAAGTATCTTATCCAAATTACAATTTCTCAATTTAAAAGCACACATAAACGGTCATTTTCCTAGTTATTTAATACATAAACATTGCTCCACTATTTTTCTTGTCGTTTATGTCCAATAAAATTATCATTATCTGGAATCTAAAACTATATTTTAAAGCATATTCTAAAAAAATATCGTTTAATTTATTACGGTCTTAATAAATAAATAATAAATTTGCCACATTACAATCAACATACCAGGTATATATAACCTACAGCCAAAAGAACAAAAAAAAAAATCTAGAAAACCCCTAATTTTGTCACTGCTGATACAAAACAAAACATACAGATAATATTTGTTAACATTCAATACAATTTGCTAATGTTAAAAGCTCAAAACTAAAAAAAAAAAAAAAAAGGCTCAAAACTATATATTAACGAAATGGGCTGGTCTTATATGAATTGGGCCTATGGGCCATTCAAATTATATGAACGACGCCATTTTGACTTGACTGAGTTAAATGAAAAATTAACAGAGTAAATTCCAAAAAAGTTATCGAAGAAACGTTCAAGTTGTGACAGAGAGAATCTCTCGCGGTCGTCTTTGTTTGTCGTCTCCGACGAGCTCTCTTTCTTCTCCGATTAGATCCCGTGAGAACGAACCCACAGACTCTAGGGTTTCAAATTGACTGTTTTGTGTATTACGAGAAAAGTGATCGATGATACTGTTGCAATCGCATTCAAGGTTTCTTCTTCAGACGCTATTGACACGAGCTCAGAAGTGAGTCATTTCGATTCTCAAATCTTATCTTCCTTGTAGTTTTAGGTTTAGCTAATCTGAAATCAATTAGACCCATTTGTTTGGTTTTGGTCGATTTGATTTTGATTTGGTTAAGGAATCTGAAACATTTCTGAGAACTGGGTTTTTGTAGAATGGCAATAAAGTTGGATACTTTGTTAGTTTTCTCAGCTGTTTGATTTTGTGTGTTTGGTTCAGTCTTGATAAAGCAGTGGAGCTAGATTATCAATGGATTGAATTCGATGATGTTCGTTACCATGTTCAGGTGAATTTTTATACCAACATTGTTTTGACCTCTGAGATCCATATGATTCTTGTTAAGTATTCTAATATATGAGTTTTGTTTGATTAGGTGACAATGAAAAATCCAAATCTTTTGTTGCTTTCTGTTTCGTTACCAAATCCACCACCTGAAGCAATGTCCTTTGATGGACTTCCTTTAGGAGCTATAGAAGCTATTAAAACCACTTATGGGACGGGTTTTCAAATACTTGATCCTCCAAGAGATGGTTTTAGTCTTACCCTGAAGCTCAATTTCTCTAAAGTTCGTCCGGATGAAGGTTGATAACGAGTCTCTTTCTCTAATCGATAAAATGATTCTACGTAACTTGATGTGTTTTGCTTTTTGAAAGTCTGTTTCATTCTCTCATGGAATGTAACTTTGTTTTCGCAGAGTTATTAACGAAGCTAGCTTCCATTAGAGAAGTGGTGATGGGTGCGCCGTTAAAAATCATCTTCAAGCATTTAGCTTCAAGAACGGTTGCTCCTGAGCTGGATAGGCTTGTAGCAATTATGCATAGACCTAACGAGACATTTTTCCTCGTGCCTCAGGTATATCTACACACTCTATAGAAGTTCCATGTTTAACAATTGATGTAGATTCTTATGGATAGTAAGAATATAGAGGGATATATAACTTAAAAGTATGCTTCACAGGCAGATAAAGTCACCGTGGCTTTTCCAATGAGATTTAAAGACTCTGTCGACACAGTTCTAGCGACTTCTTTCTTAAAGGTGACAAAATGATCAAAGTTAAAATGTTGCGACAGGTTTTGATTTTTGTATTTACTGAAAGATGGATCTTATAATATAGGAATTTGTAGAGGCTAGGCGTGCTGCTGCGCTTAATACTGCACCTTCTTGTTCGTGGTCTCCAACTGCACCACAGGAATTAGAGGGAGCTCCTAAAGAAACATTATCTGCTAATGCCGGTTTTGTAACTTTTGGTATGATCTCTCTAAAAAATATTCTGTTTGATCTTTATTTTCATTGGTAGCACCAATCTGAAAGAAACTTACTCTGAGATTATTGATATATCACAGTCATTTTTCCTCGGCATGTGGAAGGAAAAAAGCTTGATCGTACTGTGTGGAATTTATCAACCTTTCATGCTTATGTTAGTTACCACGTCAAGGTTAATCTTTCTTTCATGTTCACTACTTCACTTAATACCAAAACTCAAGTCTCTCTCTGCGAATATGAATTTGTAAAAATTGAGTTTTTTTGTTTGTTGTCATATCACAGTTTTCAGAGGGATTTATGCACACCAGGATGCGGCGTCGTGTGGAATCTATGATTCAGGTAAAACACAAAACTCGATTTGTCTTATTGTCCTTTCTCTTCAGGTGATCAAACGGTTGCATTACATTCTACTTGAATATGTTCTTTAGTTAACAAAACCGTGTTGTCTCAGGCTCTGGATCAAGCTAAGCCATTGGAGAAAACAAGATCGATGAACAACAAATCATTTAAACGTCTAGTAAGTTGCGAAACCCATGTCGCGGGAAACAATGTTTGTTTATTTGTTTGCATTGTTTTTGAGATTAGTTTCATCTTCTTCTTCCTCACAGGGACTCAACGATGTCAATCACACCAACTCCAAGTAGTTCCGATTTCTCACAAAGCAATTTTGTAAAATCTTGTGAGTAGCTGAGACATGTTTTTTTCTTGTTCTTATAATTGAATTCAGTCTCTGATAATTTATTCAGATTTGGATGTTTGTACAATTCTTTCAGATACTCTACACATCTAAATTTTTGAACAAATGTATAATGTAAGAAGTTCACCTTTTGATATGAACTGTGTCTGTCTATCTTAATCTAACTTCGACAGAAAATAAAGATTATCTTCTTTTACAAGAACAAGAAAATGTTACTATAATACGTTTATAGAATCACCAAAAAAAAAACTAAAAAAAAATAATTGGCTTCGCCCGGGTTCGAACCGGAGACCTTCAGTGTGTTAGACTGACGTGATAACCAACTACACCACGAAATCTTTTTGCTCATTTATTGTTACCTTCGCATTATTAATTCTGATGTATTGCTTTTTTCCACAACCAGGCAACAACCTTCATTTGCACGCATAACGCAAAACAATGGTATATTTATGTTATCAACAAAACATTTATTATTTTCAGGAGCACAAAGAACAATGGTATAGTTTTGTTAATTTGATGCAGAAGCTGGAAATATATATATAGCTATACAATAACATGCATTAGCTGCCGTTAATATCGTTTAACAAATGTATATATTTTCTTTTGGCTTATATATGTATATACTTAAATACTAGAAGATCGCACCATATAGTAATTTTCATTTTAGATATATTGTTAGGTATTTTTAAACTTATGAAGCGATGAAATTGAAAAATATTGGTATTAATTTTCATTTTAGATATATTGTTAGATACTTTTAAACTTATGAAGCGATGAAATTGAAAAATATTGGTATATTGTATTATTGCAATAATATGTATCGACCTACGTTATAGCTAAATCAACCATCCACATGTAATCAAAATAAATACACAGTAGTGAAGTTTGATTGGAATTCTTATCTTATTTTTTCTATAGAAATTTGCTGGACCAAACACAATCCTGTTCATTTATTTTCGTTCAAATCGAGATTTTAGGCTTGTAGTAGTTGTATTGTAGGTATAGCTTCCACAGTTCGACCTAAAAAGACTCATAGTTACTACCTTCACTTTTTGTTTGCTTATGTAGTTATGTATATTGTTCCAAAATTCAAACATTTTTAGGGTTATGGTACTTGTTGCATCAGTCGCCGTTTTGCTTCTAGTCTTTGGAGAAGCTTGACTACTTCTTTTGTCTCTTAAATGACATATGGGTGGCTAGTGATTGACACAAAAAGAAAAAAAAAAAGAAAATTTTTTACAACTTTTGTTTGTCATAGTGGTGAGGAAAAGTTTTTTTACTTGATAACGATGGTTTTTGTCTACCAATAAAGAAGTTTTGTCTGATTATTTTTAGACATGATGAAGTGTGTATTTAACTAAGATCCATTGTAACACTCGACCAAATGTGGTTTCAACATCGATTTTAATGTGTACTTGTTACTTTATGTGTTGCAGATTGAGATATACGATAGATATATTCAGGATATACATATATAAGTTCAAATTTTTAATAGTTAGCCTTAGCCAATATCAATTCTGATTAGTTGATTGATTTGTAACAGATAGGTACGTATAATATACAACTTTTAATCTTAGATTTATGGGACGAAATTAGACTATTGAACACCACGCTGATCAAGGTGTATAAATCAATTAGATGCCAAAACCAAAAAGAATAAGAATGTAATGTAACGTATGCTGCATGGCTTGCTTGGTACACGTGTAAGAAGATGACATCTCCTTTTCTTAAGATTCTCAATATTTGCATGTGTTGTTTTAAATAGTTTACCAACGGCTTCCTAATTATTACTGTTTGACTAGAATAAGAAGGCTGATCTGTTGGCTTGTGGTGTACGTTTATTATCAATCAACAACAGTAGACAACATTTTTAGGGTAATAAGTGGACCATAAGTTGGAAAGTGGGGTATAAGAGACCAAATATTCTTCAATGTAAGGAATGTGATTTATCTATTTCGAATGCATAATACATCAAATATATGTAAATATGTACTAGTGGCCTAAACAACTTTACTAATCAGTGTTTAGAAGTTTGGCTAGGAATTAAATATAGCAAACATCAAACTATAATTATTAATATATATTAATATATACATTCATAAAGAAGGAAGACCATCATTAATAATGAGCTCTTAGGTGGTTTTTAAGCTTTGAAAAGCAAAAAAAATATCTCTTATATCATTATTAATGAGCTTTTAGGTGCATTTTAAAAAGATTAAAGATGCATGTAATACTTTGTAATTCACGAAAAAAAACTGATGTTTTCTGGTTACAAAATTTAGAATATGATATACTTATAAAATTTACTTGTTTTAATGATATTTTTGTTCTTCACCAACATGATTATATTCGTTCGAAAATCTCATGATCGTGAAATATAATTTAAAATATATATATATACACCAGTAAAACGTACAATCTCTAAGTTTACTTATTTATTCAACTTAGGCCATGAATGTTTTTGGAGATCTTAAGTGGCTTTTAGATCATAAATTTTGGTTTCTGAACTTTACAAAAAAAAAAAAGCAAATTATAATAAACTTATTAAAGCGACTTTTTAGATTTTTGTTGACAAACTCGTAAAATGTATTACTTACTTGATTTCCCATATTTTAGAGAAACCACTTTTATCAAAATCTTTAATAGTCATAAAATTGATTTTTTAAAGTGAATTCTCAAAAATATAGGAAATCAAGTAACTAATTTTCTTGGTTGGTATTTAATGGTTGCGAAAGAGAAGAATCGTTAGTTAGATTTTTTCTGGTCGACTTTAACTTGAACTGAAACAAATACAATCTAAAATCTTAACATAGTAGAACATGTGACTAAGGATTTGCGTAGAAGCTCGGTGGGTTGTATAACAAGTACTAATGATACATTTGAAATTCTTGTACCTTGGTTTGCATTGTGCGTTTCTTTTTCATGGGATCAAATCTATAAAATTGACAATGGCCCTGTTTGTTTGGTCGCCGCAGGTACCTGCGGCTGCGGCGGCGGTAAAACTGTTGCTCGTTTGGCTACCGCAGGTTGCCGCAGCGGCGAACGCAACCTTCTGCGGTTAAAAATTTTGAACGTCGATCTGATTTAGCGACCAAAAACGTTGCGTTCGCCGCAACCGCTACCACTGCCGCAGCCGCTGCTGCAACCGCCTGCGGCGACCAAACGAACATGCCCAATATCGGTTAGTGACGATAGCTAGTTGTAATGAAGTTGGTGATCTGGCGTAGGATACATATATGACGAGTTGAGAATTTTTTCGCTCGGATGATTTACCTACCTTTAAGAGGATGAATCGGTGGTTAAGCTTCCAAATGTATAGGGATGATGCTTACATAGATTCTTCAATAATGTTATTTGTGGTATCTCGCACCGATTCTTCCTTCATAATTGCCGAGGATTAGTATAGCTTGATCCACTAATTCACCTCTTCTTCGTTCGTTTCCTTTTACGCTTCATTCCTCGTGGTAAGATTTTCGTTGTCTAATTGTTTATTTCATATCTTTTTCATCGTCATTTCTAAGTCAATCCTCATTTTTTGTTTAACCCGTAATATAATTAAATTTAGAATAATGTGAAGATGTAGAAATCATTTGAAGGAGAATTAAGTTGAAGTGACTATATAAACGAAATGATTGGAAATGAAAAATTTAGAGTGGAAAATTATACTGATTATGCTATCTGATTATGTAAACTTTTCTTTGCAACACATTTTGTTTGTGAGGTTATTATTATTTTTTCATAGTCAACTTTTTTTTTGTATATCTATATATAATAATTTAAACAAATTTCAGGATTTATTTTATATATGATAATTTGTTAAACAAACTTTCAATATTTGAGTAACAAAATAAAAAAATATACATATTTATTTGAGAGTCAAATTTGTAATTATCCAAGTATTAAGAGTTGTTTTGTAGTTATCCAATGATTAATTTTATTTTTGTTTTTTGTAATCCAAAAAAAAATGAAACTAAATTTATATTGAAAAGATAATTAATTGATAAAAAAAGAATTTTTTGGTAGAATAATAAGTGACATAGATCATAATAGTAAAATCTCATGTAACAAATTATATTACATCCTATTATTTAGCTAACTGATGGTATTTACTTCTTTTTTTTTTTTTTTGAGAATTTGAGTTAATTTGTTATCCAATTTTTTTTTTCTCTTTTTGTAACTATACAATTAAACTAAATAAATATTAAAAATAATAGATGAAAAAAATCAGTAAAATCTCAACAACTTTAATCATATCTTATTATTTTAGTTTTGTTAATCTTTCTTTTTGTCGAGAAATGTTTTTAAAAAAATAAATGCCTTTATTTTAGTTGGTTTGGTCTAGAAATCATGCAAATATGCAGCTAATGTTGGTACCAACGTTTTCTAGATCTTGTTAACGTTAATGTCGATGCCAATAAATCTCTGCACTCTTTTTGTGAGACCTTGGTAAGATTGTTATAAATTAAATGTGGGTAGCTTTTGTATTTTTTTTTCTAAAGAGTATACAATGGAAATAAAAGAGGAAAAACATTTGGTTTCACTCCTAATCAAGCGTTTTTTAGCGAAACAGTCGGAAAATACATTAATCGTTCGAGGGATATAAGAAATAGTAACAAAGATTTTGGAAAACATACTTAAAAAGTGTAAACCAACCAGCCAAATCATCTAAAATTTTCAGGATCTCCTCACAGTCTGTCTCAAAGTGTACCGACACAAAAACATGTTGTAATACACACTTTCATTTCCCATATTATAGCTCCCAACTCGGCATGAAATACCATTAGAGTTCAAGGTTTATACCTCATGCCAAAAGCTTGTTAGTGGGATTGTCTATCACAAATCCTATGTCGTATGTTGGAACGCTTCCTCCTAGGACGCATCAACCTGGAACTTAACTTCATCTTTTTTTTTGATCAAACTAATTTTTATATTAAGCTCTCTCCATCAAAGGAGGAAGTGTTACAAGCCAAAGACAACAATGCCAAAATGGCTAGAATTACCGCTGCTACATGAGCTAAACTGATAACATACATAACATGGATAGTAGCAAACACTACACTTAATCCACTAAAACGAGAGATGAGGATGAGCCCTTGAATCTCGACGCCAATAGAGGTAAAATGTAAAGTGAAGCTTTGGG